GAAAGCATTAAGAATGAGAATGATTAACGTAATCATAAAATAGAAAGAACAATTGTCAATAAGGTTCAATTAAACAAAAACCCAATTGAATTCCATCTAACCCTAACTACAAAGAAAGTTAGCTAGACATAAGATCAAAAACTAAAAGAATAGGAAAAGCTTCCCTAAACTCCATGTTCAAGAGGCGTGTGGTGAATCTTCAAGTATCCCCAAACACCCTTTTTACGATCGAAGCGCTTTAGCATGCGATTTGGGCTCTTCGACATGCATGTGGCCGAATGTTCACGCTCTTTTGAAGCTTGGAGTGCTTAAGCAAGCATAACGGGCGCCTTAGCACGTTGCTGGCAGTAACTTTACATTTTTTTTACGGTCGGAGCACTGTAGCATGCAATTTGGGTACTCTGGCGCGCATGTGGCCGTAAATTCATGATCTCATGACGCTTTGGGTGCTTTGACACTATTTGATAGTCAACATATTACTTTAACGTTTCGGGCATAACTTGAGTTGTACTCATCTAATTGATGCAATCTTGGTCTCGTTGGAAAGATAAGAGAGAGATCTATAACTTCTGTGGACCATAAGATCTAAATCCATAATCTTTGGTATGAAAAATTAGTCGGAAGATAGCTTAAGGGAGGTTTTCTTATGTTAAGAAACATGAATACCATGAAAATGCTTGTTTTGTTCAAAACTCTCCTAATCATCATGATTTTCCTCCTTAATCATAGATATGCTTCTTTGTCCTTGTCTAATCCTAACACATCCTTACTCCAATTAGCTAAATTTATCTACAAAAATGTTAGAATTACCCAGATTTTGTAATATTTTCCAAGGAAGTGAAGTTATGACACTTTAATCAAATAACTTTAAGTTTTCATGCTATTTGACTAAATTTAGAAATTAATTTGCATATTTTAGTCCCTTAAAATATGATAAACCACTAGTTTATCAAACCATTCCCAGATTTAAGATATTTTTGTCATCAACAATTAAATTTAAATAAGACCTAGTGGGAAGGGTATGAGTTTCAAGTTCTCAGTGAATTTTCAATATGTTTAATTAGCATCTTAATCAAGCAAGTAGTCAAACTGATTATGTAAAAAAAATAAAAAATTCATAACCAAACAAGCACTTAATCAAGCAAGTATAAACAATTCACAAGTTATAGAATGGTAACAAGAAGCTTTATCAATAGAGGGTAGAAAGGTTGAATCAGAACAACCCACTACTAGGATTTTCAATTCACTCACTAGGATTTTTAATTAACTCACACTCAAGTGTTTGAGAGTATGTGTTTCAATTATGCTTCATTGAATCAACATTATCAATGGTTTGATTATATTCTCGCTCAAAGTCTTAATGGTATAAACAACAGATCAAAAGGTCTTTTAGGTCTAGCTAAAGGTAAGGGAATAAATATAAGAAAATGAGACTATTAGATTGAAAGAAAAATTCATTAAGAGATAAACATTGATGTAAAATTTATTCTACTTTTATCAAACCTTCCTCCTTTTGCACTTTTTTACACCTCGTATTTAATAACGCACCTTTTTTTATTGTTTGAATATTTTTTTCTTCCTTTTCAAACCTGCCTAAAATTTTCTCCTGAAGGAAAGAAGATTGAGAAAAATAAAGTGAACAACTTTGAATTTCGAATTGAAGAATAGAGATTGGTAATAGGATGGAAAGATATAGAGAAGGTAAATGACTTGGTAGGCTTAATTATATTTCCAAAAGTGAATAAGGACACTGAAAATGAGGGATTTTACTACCCATAATAAATACATAATGAGGAAGAAATTATGGATTTATTATGCCTTATTTTTATCAATTTTTTCAAATATAACCTGTGAAATTTTTGGAAGAAGAGTAATTGTTGTGACTTGTGAGTACTTATGATGTTGTGACTTCTATTGTTTTAGTTGTGGAACTATTCTAGAATTTTTTGTTATAATTTATTATTATTTTTTGGATTACTCTAATAAGTTCATTGATTATTTGATTTAATTTGTTTCTAGGATAGCCGTATCATATAAGCGATAGGCTTTCTCAAGATTATTTTCTCAATTTCTATTCTCAAGTTCGAAATTTCCGGTTAAGAGAAATAAACTCTTTATCACGTAAATTAATGGTTATTGATTAAATTCAAAATTTTAAAAGGTATCTAAGGAAGAGATCATGATAGTATTTCAAGGAAGTTAGATTGATTTTAGGTTATACATTTAAAAGGTATCACATAAAGCATGTTATCAAACCATGTAATTTATTCATTCACAAAATAAAGCAATAATAAAATAAATTTTAATACATGATTTCCTAAAGAAAAAAAAATTAAAAGCCAATATTTTATACACAAAATATTTTCTGACCTGTACATCTATTTTTCTCTTTCTTCTAAGTCCATATGTTTATGGTTCAAGCTTTTTCAGCAACCACAAGCTTAAAGACCCAAAATACGTAAACCTAGCAAGATACCCTAACCATTTTCTTGATAACCCTAGCTGTCATGTCCATTGTGCCTTCACATAAAGTCATCTTAGCTCGTAATCTTAGGGTCAAGACCACTATGACGAGTGGAACATGATGTTGCCGGAGTCTCCGGATGCGCCCTCAAGCGCCATATTTGTAAGGAACATTTTAGGGTTGCTCTAATTCTAGTTCTTATCGCCTTTTCACCCTCTTTCACATTGATTTCTTCAATGGACACTGATCGATCACGAACACGACCAAATGGCTACAAATATCCTTCTTTTTTGTCTTCTTTTCATTAGAATTTTATAATACAACAAATATACAAAATTTGAAAGAAAAAAATCAAAGAGGGAACCTAATCATAAAGGATGAGTCTCTTGTTACAATCCCCAAAAAAAATAATACACTTAAATCTCTACCATGGATTAAAGTTAAAAGCCAAATCAAAACATCAATTTTCTTGGAAAGAGCTATAAAAGATAAAATACAACTTATATGATCAACAAATACAGAATCCTATGTGCCATATTTCACAAAACAAACTAATTACATGAAAAACCCAAAGAACTAGATTCAAACTCAAACCCATAATCCGGTTCTGATACCAATTGTAGGAGAAATTGGATTTGAGGAAGCGCGTATGATAATTATGGTTTGGAATACAAAGAATCATCAAGGTTCTTTGCCACATAATGGAATATACCTCTTGTAGCGTAGACGCAAGAGGTATCCCTTTTTTAGTGTTGTGACCCATTCTGCGTGGTAGTTCGATTCCTTGCAACTACGATTGTGGAATCTCTTCACTGCATGGTGAAATCTCCTTGCTGAAGACCGCTACAAGATGGTAATATCTTTCTCTTAGAAAAGGGAAGAAAGGAGCTGCTCCCGGAATATGTGGGTCTTTCAAACTATCCTTAGATATGAAAATATGTGGATATTGTTGGAAGTATTCAAGTATGAGTTATAAAGAAGTACCACATCGACTAGACATAGACCAAGTGATGACTATATAAGTGCAAAAAGACCCATAAACCTACAGCCTTAAGGTTTTGGGTTGAAATGTGGTGTCGGCCCACTTATTATGGTTTGTCATTTGGCCCTTTGGTGGATGTACCCTTTGCAAAGGGTTTTGGGCTCCCCGTACCATTCTTAACAGTGGTATCAGAGCCAAAGGTTTGGCTGGGCCGGGTATTTAGAGATGGTGATGTTTCAAGGCCTCCGCAGAAGGCTAGTGTGACTCCAATACTTAAAGAAAAAAGACTTCCGCAGAAGTTGCCCTTAAGGGGGAGCATAATGTTGGGTTGCCCTTAAGGGGGAGCATAATGTTGGGTCTCATACTTGAGGGGAAGATGTTGGAAGTATTCAAGTATGAGTTATAAAGAAGTACCACATCGACTAGACATAGACCAAGTGATGACTATATAAGTGCAAAAAGACCCATAAACCTACAGCCTTAAGGTTTTGGGTTGAAATGTGGTGTCGGCCCACTTATTATGGTTTGTCATTTAGCCCTTTGGTGGATGTACCCTTTGCAAAGGGTTTTGGGCTCCCCGTACCATTCTTAACAGATATTAGGATTACCTTTTTCTAATGACGACTTATGAAGCTTATGACTATAATTTATACGGAGGCTTAAAGAAAACCTAGGTCTTCTTACATACTTAAGCTCAAAAAGGCTACTGCATTGCACAAATCCACAAGTTTGGGGGCTAGAAATGTAAGCGTTTGGTTCGGCAATAAAGATACCCCCCAACATTCCAAAACTAGCTGTCACCCCACCTGTAGTAGGAGATGTCAGAATCGATACATAGAATAAGTTTTTATTTGTTTGATAATCTTATAAAGCCGAAGATATTTTAGCCATTTGTATCAAGCTTAAACTTCCTTCTTGCATACGTGCTCCTCTGGACGCACATACTCGAATAAGAGGTAAAAGCTTATTGGTAGCATATTCGATCAAACGGGTTATTTTCTCGGGAGGGTATGTTAACGCCTTTTTTTATACTCATTAGAGTTATTTCACAAAGACTTGCCATGATAAGGAAGAAGGGGGAACAAATACACTCAAGACATATTGGATATGAAGACAAAATGCATAATCTATCAAAAATTATTTATATTTATTTAATCTAATATTTATTAATTAATTAAATTAAATTTTAGATATTCTTTATTAGCAATGTTATATTTATAATCTATTTTCTATTATAACTCTTTACAATTATTTTTATAATTATTGCATTAATATTTACTAAAATGATATTAAATGAGAACTATTAATTTAATTTTAATTTATATATTAAAAAAAATTATAAATATAACTTCCCTTGTTCTTTACATAATATTTAAGGATAATATTTTTGTTATGTTATGTAACAAAAGTATTACCCAATATTTAAACAATAAAATTATAATTCAATTCAGAATTCCAATTCTATACCTCAATCCTTTATTACTTACACAACATAAATTAAGATTCTTAAAGAATTTCAATTCTGATAGATCATCCAATCGAACCCCACTTCATGTAAAAGATTAGGGTTTGATAAGTTTCGAATTCGTCCTATATCTCTGCAGGAGAAAAGTTTCGAATTCAGGTGAACACTGAACATCCAATTTCGTGTCTTTGATTCCTTATTTGCTTTGCTGTGTTGTTTTCATACATGATTTCTTGCTTTGAGTTGTTATATCACCAGCAATGATTCCAGGTCCAGGTTCAAACCCTAACTAGTCGAACTATTGTTGTTACTTTTTAATTTGCTAACAATAATACTGTACTCATAATTCTTTTTTTTTTCTTCGGTAAACCACTCATAATTCTTTTTTAATAAGAATGGACATTGCTTCATTTGAAAGTGAAAAAAAAGAAAAGGATTTTTATTTATTTATTTATCGGACCTGCTTGATTGATAAATATGTGTGAATTGATGATGAGGAAGTGACAATGTAAGTGGAAAGTTACTTCTCTGATACTACACTTTGGTGTACTTATTTAACAGTGTATCATGCGAAAATTTTAAGCGTGAAATTTGATTTTGTTTTCCTCATTGAAATCATAATTTATATCAAAAAAATTTTCCCCTAGATTTGTGTTAGGGGTATTACTTGTAGTAATATTAGTATCATGGATGAGATAGCCAGGAAGAAAAGTTCTGCGATTGACAGAAGCAACTGGGAGAGTAGTTTTGAGCTGGAGGCAACTGAAGGAAATAAAAAGAAGAACAAGGAAAGAAAGAGAAAGCATGCTACTCATAAAATACTCAAATTGAATGAAACTCCTGTGGAAAATTGTACTGGTGAAGCAGCTGACAAACAAACTTGCTCTGTTGAAGGGAACAACATTCCATTCATGTGGAATAGGGAAGAAGAGATCCAAATCCATAAGAGGAAGAAGAAAAAGGGGAGAAAAGATATTGAAGTGATGAATAGTAACATTGCTGATGATGAAGAAATGCAGCTCTTGGATGACAACCAACAAAGCAAGATGAAGAAAAGAAAAAATTATGAAGATTCATTTACTGGAACACAAGAAATGGGTTATTCGAAACCAAGCAAAAAAGGCAAAATGACAGAGTGTAATGAGATAAAAAACAATGGAGGTGATCCTCCTTTGGATAGAGTCAGCACAGGAAATGCTAATGCACATTCTCTTGTCGCTGAAGTTGATTGTGGAGGAAAGAAGATGGAGAAGAAGAAGAAGAAGAAACTGAGCAACAAAAGTAAAAGCACAGTAAGAGACTGTAAAGGCAATGAAGGTGATCATTCTGTTGTAACTGGAGAGGGGCAAGACAAGAAGACGAAGATGGAGAAGATACTGAGCAAGAAAATCAAAAGAAATCAAGATGAAGAGTATACAACCAATGGAGGCGAGCCGCGTTTGGCTGAAAGCAATATAGTTGATCTACCTTTAGTCAAAACGAATGAAGGTGAAAATGATGACCAAGGCAAGAAGCTGAAGAAGAAGAAGAAGCTGAATGAAGAAAGCAAACGTAAGGAATATGACGAGTTTGCAAGCAACGAAGGTGAAGATGATGACCAAGGCAAGAAGATGAAGAAGAAGAAGAAGAAACTTAGCGACAAAAGCAAAAGTAAGGCAAACAGTGAGTTTAAAACCAATGAAGGTGATCTATCTTTGGCTGGAGGAGATGCTAATGTACATTGCAATGTCACTGAAGTTGATGATCAAGGCAAGAAGATGAAGAAAAAGAAGAAAACCAAGGCAGGTACTGGGGAATCTCCTAACCCTGCACCTGGTGGAACATCCAAACCCAAACGAGTAACTTTTTCTGACCAAGTGGAGGTTTGTTGTGATGGCTTAGTGCGTGGGAAAAGGTTTACAAAAGAAGAAGATGAGAAGATTAAAGAGGCTGTTTTTGACTATATAGAGTCTCATGGTTTGGGAGATGAAGGTCTAGATATGATTCTCCATTGCAGATCTCATCCTGAGATTAGAGATTGTTGGAAGGAAATTGGAGCAGCCTTTCCTGAGAGGCCTTACCTTAGCGTGTATTATCGTGCTCATATTTTGTTTGAAAGAGATGAGAAACGTAAGTGGACACCTGAAGAGCTTGAATTTATACGAAAGGTCCAGGAACAACATGGATCAGATTGGAAATCGATAGCTGAAGCATTGGGTAAAAACCGATTTCATGTAAAGGATGCATGGCGTAGAATAAAATTAACCAATACAAACAAAGGACGATGGTCCCAAGAGGAGTATCAAAATTTATTTGATTTAGTAAACCTGGATTTACGCGCAAGGGCTTTAGAGGATTGTAGAAAATCAAAACATGGTATGTTGCGAGATAATATTAGTTGGGAGGCAATTGGCAACATGTTCTCCTCTAGAACCAGCCAACGCTGCTGCAAAAAGTGGTATGAGCAATTAACATCACCTATGGTTGCTAATGGTGTATGGAGTGATACTGATGACTACCGCCTGATAAATGCTTTATTTACTTTGGATGCTTGCTGCATGGAGGACGTAGACTGGGACAATTTGCTTGAACATAGATCTGGGGATGTGTGTAGAAAACGATGGAACCAAATGGTCCAATATATTGGAGAGCATGGGAGGAAATCATTTGCTGAACAGGTGGAAATCCTTGTGAAGAGATTTTGTCCCGATTTATTGGAAGCAAGAGAAGCCTTTGATAACAAACCTGTAGTTTGTTGAGGTTATAATCTGTGGTTTTCCTGAGGTAAACTGATTTTGTAAAACCAGAATTATTTATTAGATTATGGTTCTGATGTTTTTGCGGAATCATTCAAACCATTTTCTGCATAATATAAACTGGATTTTGTGTTGCAGTTCAAGGGTGGTTTATAGTAGTATTTTCCTGTAATAAAATGTTAGCCCTGTTCTTCTGTCCTTGTTTATTCCATGTTGAAAGTGTTTGTTTTGATTTAAGTTATTGTTTAATTGATAGTTTGATGCTCTTTATAGCTGCCTTTTGGGTTTATGGTCTATTAGTCTTGCTATTTCCATTCTGAACTTCATTTGGCCTATTTATTGGCTCAAACAACCATTGATGGTTACTTATAATTATCTCCATTCTTTTTTGGAAGTAGGAAGTTACCCACAAACATGATAGAAGTTGAGCATGTCTGATGGAACCAGAAAAATAACACTGAAATTATAGAGATAATGGAGGTCATGCTCTTTTACATACACTAACATGCAGAAAATAAACCCCAAGAAACCTCAACTCCCCCTCAAACCAAATACCTAGGCTCAAGAGTTCCCTAGAAGTCTCTCAATTTCCCCATTAAGCCAGAATTGAATACATGCATAAAAGAAACATCACCCTAAACTTCTATATATACTACTTCAAAAATACTAATGGGCTTGGATTATTTATTATAGGCCCATCAATGTCCTTTGCTAATTGTGCCCAACGTAGATATTTTAGTGCATGTTTGGCTGAACAAGCATGGGAGACTTGCCCATTCAAATAGGCTTTCATGCTCAATTAATCATGTTTAGCAAAATACACTTTTTTGTTGTGTTTATTGTGATTTTGTCCTAATGCCACATTTGAACAGAAGAATGGGTTGCTTCTGCACTGTGTTGGGAAATTTTATGGCAAAAATTGAATGCTCCAATTGCCATCTAACTTTTATAACCTTGCGTTCTTTTCACAGCTTTTCGCTCTTCAGCGCCCTACTATGTCTTAAGAACCAGCCTCCAAGTTCTTTGCTCCTTTTCCCAGGTCCATGATGTTCCACCCTCTTCTGTTGGTTTGGCTTCCTGCATGTGGTTCCCCCCTCCCAGCTTCAGCTCTACATTGTGCCCCCAACTCTAGCTCTCATGTTTTTATTACTCCCTTCTTGTGGTCTTATGCTGCAATATGATAATTTCTGTTAAGAAGTGCTCAAAGAACTACAATGTTATCTAACAAAACTTTGCTCACAGACTTTAAATTAATCATCTAAAGTAGATAACTGCAATATCATAATGTGTTGGTTGCAAAATCATATATACCATTACTGCTTATTGACTTCTCTGTAGTAAGCAGTTCAAGAAGACAAACAGAAATTTGTTGGTTCTTGGGGGAACTGACTACAATTAAGGCTTGACATACCCATTATGTTGGAGCTGAAGGTCCATTATGCTTTAGTTTTAAACAAATGTGCCTTTATTCATCATTGGGTATTATTCCTCTGCTGCAAAAGGCATGTCTGATGCTGTGGACAGTTACTTTCTCTTTCCCCATTCTGTCAAGAATGTTTTTGCATGTGGGATCTCTTGTAAATTCATTTATTTTTTGAGGAAATTCATCTAATTTTACACTTCTTATATGTAAAAGTATTGAAATGCTCAATGTAAAATATCGTTGATTTGTTCTTGACTGCAATTTGAACCCATGACTCAGGTTCCCATTTTTACTGGCTTCTTTTTTCAATTTGAGAATTGAACTCCTAGTACTACTGCAATAGTTCTGTTCTAGGTCTCCACTAAAAGAAAGAAAATAATGACAATAAAAGATAAACATGAGAGTAAATACTGCAAATAAGAAATAAAGTTAATATCAAACCAGCTTTGACTGTACCAAAGATTTCCTCTTCCTTTGGTTACTTTCTATGCACTATAAGTTGATTAAGACAGCAACTAATCTGAGGCTATGCTGGAATATAGGTCAAAGTGATTAGATAAAAAATCAGGATATCAGAAACTGTGAATAATATATCTAGCCCTGCCACTGAAACTTGAAGGTAAGAAGATAACACGTTTACCAATAAAAGATGAATTAGTTTCCCCATCACTCAAATCTTTGTACAAGTATTCGGTGAGTTTTATGACACCTTATGTAAGCCGAATCTCTGATATTCAATCATAGTGTAGCCATCTGCTATAAAATGCTGAAATAATCTTCTTGAATGCAATAAGAATGATTTTTCTCGATCTCTATCCTATACCCTGAAAGCAAAACTGCAAAAGTACTCTTGGAGAGTGAGTTTATTTTTTCCTTGCAATTATCAAAGAATATTGACTATGCATTATATTATCCCTGTAGCAATCTTCCCCATATGAAAATAATAGTTAGTGGGTACTGCATAGGAAGATAAAAAGTATGTAATTCATCAAAATTTTGCGATTTGTCTCACTAAGTCTCTGCTATTATACCTTTCCCATCATTTAAGGCATCAATAGCACAAACTGTTAGAGCTGCTACTTCTAAAATAGTTGGAAGATTATAGTTCGATCAACATTCTCCCTCTTTAAAATCTTTCACATTTTGATTTTGAACTTACCTCTGACCAGTCTAAATTATTATGCTACAATGTTAAAGTCATCAAGCATTCTCATTAACTTTTGGAAAATTACATGATCAAGCCCTTGCTCTTTTTTATCAATTCCTAAACATAATAAAAAATATACACGTTCATAATCAATTCATTAACGTCATAAATGAAAACCAAAACCACACAAACACATGAAGAAAATTCATCTATTACAATAATTAGAGCACCTGTGAACATTCATTATGTTTTCAACAGTGCAATTTTGGAGATTAACATTCAAGAAGTAGAAGGCTGCCTCTGTTGGGATAATTTATACTAGACATTGTGTATGAATATGGATCACCACACTTATTTACAGATTTGTCAACTTTGCCTCCCATGGAAGGGTTTGAGAAATATCTCCATTTTGCATCCCTCTCTAAAAACCACATACATGTTAGCACCACAATAATGAGAAATATATATTGTTTACTATGAAGTTTACCATTTCTTCACATATAAGATATGAAGTTTACTACAATCAATAGAACTGTTGCATAAAGTGCTACGTCATCCCTTATCATCTTGAAACAATTAAGAAATCCATTGTCGAGGTTCATACTGTAAAAAGGGTCAGATGTATTTTTTTTTTTTTACACATGAAGATTATAGTTGAAAATTCAATTTTAAATGTACAATGAGGATTATTTTCGCATGCATCACCAAATTATTTAACATGTGAGAAGGCATGAGCGTTGCCTACTTGACTATTGATATAATAATAAGAAAGAATTTAAAACATTCAAAGTGAAAAACATAGAATAAAACAAGATACTAACAGGACAAACAACATTATCTTGATCACATGTCTTCTAGCCAATGAAGGTGACATCTTATTAATTAATACTACATTGTTTAATATGACAGACCAAGAGAACTTGCTAGGATAATTTTAAATCGCTTGTTGCTAGTTAGTTGAATATTATAAAAAAAAGTGTAAAATTGTCTCTTCTGCCGTCACATTTCCTTGTCTAAATGTTCATTGTCCATTCAAAGTTAAAATAATGGTATACGCAATAAGTTATAAGACAGAGTCAACAATTGCAAACGAAAGCTTTTCTGTCGGACTATAATCCAAAGTTACTATATAATTCATAGAAAAGAATAAAACGGAATTCAATACATCATTTTGATAAAAGCTCCTCAGCAAACGAAAGCAAGTTCAGAATTATAAGTTGAATATGATTTATTGACTTAAGTATGACAAATTGAGTATATTATACTACTTTGTAAACACGACATCTCTGATTTCTAATAAATTAAGTGTATCATACTACTTTGTCAAAATTACATAGTTTTAAATTTTAACTGACTATTCATATAAAATATAAAGATTGAAATTTATTTTATTTTTATTTTTTGGATATAGGGGAAAGGAAAGAAACAAAAAACAAACTACAAACTAATTATGATGTGCCCCTTACATCGTCCAAGACCAATTCCTTACTTCCATCTAAAACACGACCATTGGGCATTGGTCATGGTCTAAAATCTTATCTTATAGAGCTTGTATGAGGATTTACTTGGCATTTTGAGATATTATTTTGATGCATTTGATAGTTGCTTATTTTGTATCATTGACTTAGTGCATGTGAAGGTATATCATCAGAAACGCGGAAGCGCATCGTACCGATGCGATGAAGAATAAAGAACACCGCTTTGATTACCTGAGATGAAGCAGCGAGCGTGACAGTTTCTCACGTTCTGTTCTCCTCCTCAAGCCTCACGATCTGTAGCAATGCACCACGAACGGTCGCAATTTCGCTCTACGGTTGATCTTCCAGGCTATGACTCAAGGGGGATCAGGTGGTCGTGTGGGCAACCGTTCAGATGATGAACGTCTGCCTCTTTGTGTTTCTGATGTCTTAACCCTAGGAGGCACTAGAGAGAAAAGAGAGTTTATATACTCTCTGCCCAATCCAAGACTAACCCTAAGCTTCATGGATTGAAATTAGTTTTTTGGGTTCACTCTCACTAAAGCTATTGGGCTTAAGTGAAAAGAGCATATTAAACCCAACAATCTCTCACTTGCTCTTTTGGACACAAACTTGAGTTCATAAACTCAAGACTATGTAGCCCATAAGTCATCATCATCTGATTATACAACCCGTCCCTTGTCTCAAGCTAGCCTGGGGATCTACCATCTGTTATTAATCAAGGCTCCTGATAATCAACAAATGATTATCTAATTCGGTGCTACTCCACTAAAAGCCCGAACTTGAACTCCAAGATTAACAACACTTATAACATGAATATGCATCGCCCCTTTGTAGAATGTCTATAATTGATTGACAAGTTTTCTGTAACTCAATCAATTATTTATTCCCTTGACTATGATAGTTTCTCTAATGGATTACATGCACTGGCCAGTGTCTTTAATATCCAAGTACTGAAACATATCAAGGGGACATATCCTACAAATTCCATGTTGTTTATCTCATAAATACCGATAATCAAATAATCTCACTCCCAAAATACCGAGTTATTGGCCGTCAATAGATCGAACCTCACCCGTTGGTAAATCAAATAATGAAAACTATTTGATTACCTATTTATAATAAACTCAGGATTAAGAGCAATCACATAACTATAGTTAACTGGAGATTTGATACCTTATGACAGAAAAACAACCTTAATCAAATCTCTCCTTGATCCTTTCAATGTGAATGTTAATTCACACCAATATTTTACAATGATTCGGACAAAATCATTTCATAAAATATTGCAACCTGAATAAAGTGCCCAACTTTATTTAACGGCTGTGACTCCATTCATCAATTGTGAGAACCTATGATCATGTCCTCCATGAACGTATCCATATGATCATATACTCCACAATTTGATCCGGACCTTTATGTTTGTAAATAGTGCGCAAAATAAATAAATAAAACCTTATTTATGAAATTCAGAAAATTATTTTACTGTTTCATCGTCTTACTCCAAGAGCGCAATGAAACCAATAACTCCCACTTGCTTAATACAAGTCTGGGATCCTCCTAAGACCCAAATAAGTAACATGCCTCTCGAACACAAATTCAGGCAAACTCTTAGTAACTGGGTCTGCAAGATCCACCTCTAATGCTATCTGAGTTTAGTGAAAAGCTCATAGCTCGAGGTTAATTTTCTTGAGTCAATATCCACTTGAAATAATTGAATTTTTGAAAACTCAGCTTTTCAAGACTCCCACTAGAATATACCAGCATATAATCTCTCGTTCTCCAAAGATACTTGAGTACATGCTTAACAATAATCTAGTATTCCTCTAGGTTCAAAATGGTACTATCTCACTACTCCCACTGCGTGACAGATGTCTGGTTTAACGCCTAACATAATATGCGTGAGTCTACCTTTGCCAAAGCATAAGATATCTTGCTCATGCATTCTTCCTTGGAGAGGGAGTGTGAGTGTATATTCTGAGTTTCCAAACACTGTGAGTGGGTGTGAGTGCTGACCTTGTGTTGTTTGGGTGTTGGGAAGCCATGGTCATGGCACTTTGAGATCCAAGTGGTGACCTTTGGTGAGAAAGTACCAACCTTGATCATCATTTTCGTTTTTCCTTGGGAAGTCAGAACTTGAGGAGTTGTTTGGTGAGCTCCATGAGCCATTCTTGCTGAGTTTTGAGCTTTGGTAAGCCTTACAACCTTCAATCATGAGTTTAAATGCTTAAAAATGGAACCTTGATGCATGTAACAAGATAAGATGATAACCTAACGTAGGGTAATGCTTAACACACTTAGAAATACATGTTTAAGCTTCTGTAATCCGTAAAAGTTGGACCTTTGGTTTGGATTTTTGCGAAATGCAGAATCTGGGTTCTGTCGCGAAATATCCTGGTATTTGGTTGTGAATATCCGGATATTGATATCCGGATATGGGGATCTGGATATCCGGATATTGCCAGTGAGATATCCGGATATTGATATCCGGATATGCCCCCGACATATATCCGGATATTCTGGGATTTCGAGGAACAGTAGATGCACTGTTCATACAGTAGGCTATTGGGGGTTTGTGGACCCTAGAGTGATGAAGTTGAACTTCTGTTTTAATTGAACTAAGTCAGAACCAAGTGGTTAAGGGCTTATGGCTTTGTGTGAAGCCTTAGACATAACTCGTAAGAGGAAAACATAGTCTTTATGTTTATGCTTATAAGCTATGAGTGTTGATATGCTTACTGGTCCTAATCAGATTGTGATCTGCTGTGTGTTGGACTTGAGCTGTGTGGACTCTTGGCATTGGATAGTGAGCTTGCAAGGTAAGCTTTCGTGTCCTCGGTTTAGCAATGTTGTGGTTCCACCATGTCCCATGGGGGTATGGTTATATGCATGCTGTGTTACATGCTTTTGATGTTTTGGAAATGTTGTTGAGCTGTTATATGCTAGTGCCTTTATGATATGCATGTGGTGTTCCACCTATACGGTAAGCCTGAGTATGTAGTACATACAATATGGTGAGGCTGTGGGTGAGGTGCAAGCGGTGTTCCTTGTACTACATGTAGGTGATAGACGTATTCCTGCATTTCTCTGGCCAGTAGAATAGTTTAAACACACATGACATGAATATCTGTTGCACTGCATAGTTTTGGAACTTATATTGGAAATTACTGCTTTTGAACTTATATTGCACATGTAAGTGAGCTTGGGGTGGAAGATCCTTGAGGACCCCTTGTCTTACTGAGATTTCTTGTTTAGAGATCTCACCCCACGTTTGGGGCGCTTATTTCAGGTTCATGTAACCAGGGGGTTGAGACCTCTAGTGGCAGGCGACCATAGCTTAGCTGATAGATGTTACATGTTTATGCTGCTTATGCTGGTTATGCTTGTAACTAGTATGCTTTTAGCTTCTTTTATGATTATGGATTATCTTGTTGAGACGTTGTTGTTACGCTGTTCATTTGGAGTTGTAATAATGTATCAGGATATTGTCCGGACTACGTGTTGTAGATCCGTGATTTTAGATACTCACTTTATTTATATTATGAGGTATTTCAGTTAAATGTTTATTGCAATTTACATACAGGCGATATTTTATGAAATTGATTAAGTAATCAACTTGGCTAAGTATAATGACGTCATAATTGAAAAGAAAAAGATATTCTGCATTTTAATTAAGCGCAGCTTAATACGATGATATGTTAACATACCGCGTATACACGGGGTGTTACAGTCGTTGGGACCACCGTGCCTGTGGTTAACACTATATTGGAGTTTTAGGCATGATAATAATATTTTGAAACTCAGTGTTGTTAGGACCACCATGCCTGTGGTTGACACCATATTGGAGTTTGAGGCATGATTTTGGAACTCAGCGCCGTTAAAATCATCATGTATGTGGTTGACACTATATTGGAGTTTGAGGCATGATTTTGGAACTCAGTGTCGTTGGAACCATTATGTCTATGGTTGACACTATATGGGAGTTTGAGACATAATGGTGTTGTTGGGACTACAGGGCCTGTAGTCGACACCATATTTGATTATATGATGGTTTTTTTATAAACCATGAAATTTCTCTGGCTTTAAGGCATTTGAGAGAAATTTGAGGACTGACAGAGAAAATAGCAGTTTGGCTGTTATTGGATCATATTGGCATGTTATTTTCTTGCTACACTCCACACTAATGACTAGTCGACGGAGTCAAGTAACATTTGTGACCATGGAAGGTCTTATATCGGTAAGGATATAATCACCGCCTGATTCAATGTTATTTGATTTTAGTTGGATGGAGTCATATTCAGATATCGCACCTTGGATCATGTGTTTTCTTAAAATGTGGTCACATTATAAGAATTAGTCCTCAGCCCGAGAGTTGTTTTCAAATAACTTATTTTCCTTTTCTCTTTTAAATTAAAATTTTACAATTGATTTTGCCCAAGTGGGAGAATGTTAAATTTTTTTATAATAACTGTGGGCTTCAATCAATTGTAATTTTCTTATTTTGATAAAAACGGACTAAGTCATGATCCATATGGGGGTGCAGTATAAAGTCCATTTAATTAAGAGATCCTTTTGTTTGGGCTTGGATATCTGTAAACTGATTAGTGTTGGTAACAGTGTAGGCCTAACCCATAGGCCCATGATGGGAAAGGAACTAGGGTTAATAAGTTTGGCTAGGTCCCCTTTGCATTCATAACGTGTTGAAAAATCGTCACTCCACAACTCGTCCCATCGAAGGTTGTGATTAGGGAATGATGTGAATCGTAGAGGAAGATCCTGATCTTTACATTGCAAGAGCATCAGAGCAAACAAAAAGCCTCTAAGAAATCAAGAATCATGTCTTCAACAACAAGTAAGCCTAAATCTTTTGATGTTCTAATTTCATATAATCTCATTTTGAAATTTCTTACAAATAAGTATGCTAAACATTACATGTTCAACAATATCAATATATCTAAACACAAACACACTCCTATATATATAAATATGTATATTCCATTCTAATTGCTAACTACTCAACTCAACTAAAATTACATGCTTATTTGAAAGCTAGACGAATCAACAGCAAACTTCACAACTGATCCAAGCTCATCCCAGTTATCAAAAGTGTAGAAATCGTTCATAGCCTGGTTAATCCAGAAGTTAGAAGCTGGTGCAGTTTGTTGAGGTTGCTGTTCCACTGGAGAACTCAACTGATCACCTACATGAAACTGATTCCATTGATCACTGCTTGTGTAGTTAATAACTGTTTTCTGATTGTGATAATGGCCACCAAAATTGATATATCCTTCTTGATTAGTGTTAAACTCCACACTGCTCATTATGGTGTTTTTATCATGCATTGAATGACGCTTAGCAGCTATTTGTTTCAAGTCTGGTATATGTTTTCTTTGTGAAACATTTCTTTTGAAAATTCTGCACAATGTCCAAATTTCCTGTACATTATAGAAAAGAAATTAGAGGTTAAGTGAGAAACGATCTATAAGAAAATGGAAAGGATTAACTTATACCGACGTAAAACTAACAAATGACATCCAATCTTAGCCGTTTTTCCTACTTGACTGACTGCTATAATTTATTAGTCACACGAGTTATTGAATGCAAGTGAAACCAACAATTAAGATTAAATGTAAGATTTACTGTTCTTAGATTTGTGTAAGTTGATCATCCTCAATAAAACTACCACTATAAAAGTAAAGAAAGTGTGAACATTCGAAATTATGTAATTTGTTTATGCTAAGGTTAAGTGAGAAATAATGTCAAATCAGTACTCTCTATTAAATCCCAACTAGTGAGAGCAAGGGCGATGATAATTTTTGTACGCAAATTAATGCTTGCATATATTTGCAAAGACATTATTTCGGTCACAAAGAAACAATTTTATAACTACTTCATACTTGTCATCTTTAAGTGAGAAATAATGTAATATAAAAAAATTACTTATATATGTAAGTTTCTTACAGCTTCTTGGGGAATATCTGCATTGTTCTTGGCATTGGCAAAGTTTATGTTGGTGTCAGAATTGGAGGGAAGGCGAAACTCGTGCATCATCCAATCAGTTTTGGTGCCTTTGCCTGCACTGCCACGGTAGTATACAAGTGTTTTCTTGAGTCCAATGCAATCATCACCTTCTCCTCCATGTGAGTACACTGGTTTGTCTATGCCAGTTGCTTTCCAGAATCCAGAGCCAGTCACTCTATTAGGCCTTATGCTGTTCCTATACTTCCTCCCTCTTTTGCAAAAGAAGTACCCCTCCTTCTCTCCTCCAGTACCACTAGCTTCTGCATATAAACAAATGGTTACAACATGGAAGTTAATTACCTCTTTTGAGGTGAGTTGGCTCCTACCGGTATCTCCACAAGCTTCGACTCTTTGAGTCGGTTATGAGATTAATTCGTAGTGTGAAGCAGGTCAGAGATAAAAATATTTAAACTCCTCCCAAAAGTGACATGTGGGGATCGAACCAAGGCTCTTTCCTTTCCACTTGCTCAGTTCCCTTGCTACCAACTAAGCTACCACCATTTGGTATATATAAGCTTTTTTAGTTCTTCATGTAGATGGTCACGACTGGCATACACAGGAGGAGAGTTCAGAATACACTCTTCTTATGTGTATAGGTTTGAGAGGAAAGTTTCAAGCTTATAAGCTGAACCAGTTACCACATGCACCATGTTAGTAAATACAATTCAAGAAGTGGATAAAAATGTTATATACGATATTCCCATAATAAGACTCAACAATTGTACTCATGCAAGTGTTATTCCATTTACCCCCAAATCAAAGTTGATCCTCTCCACAATGAAGCCTAAAGGTATGCATGTTTATGTTAGAATTCCACCATATTGATCAAGCTGTGTTAGTCCATGTAATTATTATCACCATTAGTACTAACTAGTTTTGGAAAAGATAGTAACGTAGCCAAAGAGTAAAGTAATTATGGTATGTGTTAGATGAAAACCCTACTTTTATTAATTTCATCTTGTAAGGAAACCTAAAAGACTTTTGAACTTTAAGAGAAATAGAAGAATCAAGATTTAAAAAAAAAAATACATATATATGAATTAGAGTGAAGACATACTTGGAAGATCCCAAGGATCGTATTTGTAGATATCAATCTGTTTGATGAGTTCAATACTGAAGGGTTTCTTGTCAAGCTTCCTTCGAAGATAGAAACTAACAAGTTCTTCATCGGTGGGATGGAAGCGAAACCCTGGAAGTGGATCTTCGTCATCCATATACTCATCATCCATGCTGAAACCTTCATTAACACTCATCTTATGTTATCTTTCTTTTCTCTAAAAAAAAAAAAGGTGGAAGAAGATATAGAAGAAAGTCTTGGTATAAAATTTCAACAAAGTGGAGAACCTTCTTTACATTATTATAGTATGAAGAGAGTCGAAGGATTCGAAAGAGTTTTCATCTGGGTCAAGTCATGACGTTTGACTCGTGCCCCCCGCCTCCTAATTTCTAAATTTTGGTGATGGACTCGTTCTTTTGTTTAATTTAATTTAAAGTCACTACTTAGGACTTAAAATTTATAATTAATGCGTAGAAGAGTGGAACCATTCTGTTCAAATACTTTTCTCCTCTTTGTTTAAGAAGCTACCATTAATTGTTCTAATTCATGAGTTGAACCATAAATGATGTAGACCTTTATTAGCTAACTTTTATTTTAGTATTGTAACGTGACCAGTCCACGTCAACACATGAAACGATTGAAAACAAAATCACATATTAATTTCCTTTTATAATCCATCGTATAGTAACTATATATAATTTTTTTACGAGAGTTTAGCATATGAATTTTGAGGTTAATTTATTAATATTGAAAACGATAAAAAGAGAGTCCATTGAAGTTAATAATGTATAAAAATTTATTTTAGTTACATTGATAACTTAGAATCTATTATCAATTAAGCTTTGTTGTGGTTATTTTATTGTACCGGATGGAACAAGCCCTAGAAGTTGTAATTACCTCATCCTTCGCCCAGTTTAAATATTCGTTATGTATGAGCTCCCTCCAGCATCTCAACGATGATAATTAATGGTAAAACTAAAATTATAATTATTTGTAAATAAAAAACTTATTTGTAAATAAAAAACTTATTATTTAGTTTGTTATTAATTATGGCCGATGTTGTTGAATCGCAATACGTAACGTGTATCATTTATCTGGTTTTTTATACTGTATATCGTGAATTGTATCGAATCATAAGATACAAAAACAAAATAAAAAATATTTTAAAAATATATATTAAAATATTTATCTAATTATTTTCTTTATTAATACAGATTTTTCAGATTGAGTTTTGTGTTTAAATCACAAATCATAATTTTATTTTATTTTCCTTATTACTAATAAGATTTTAGATTTTTGTAATTTAAATCAAAAATTAAATCTTTATTTCTTTTCTTTTTATATTAAAAATTAAAAAATTTGATTTAATTTTCGTATGTTGATACACAATACGTATTGTATCGTTCAATATAAATCCCTTTCCAATACACCTCACGATAAATATCGTTATGTTTGTGAATCAATCGTATCATTTTTCGTATGATATTGATAATTATGCTTATGGCTATTTGACCATTTGAATAAGGAGTTATCATGTGTATTTTACCCGCTTGGTATGCTCCCAAAGTTATTTTCTAGGGGATTGCGTTTAATTTCGCAAAATGGTCCCCACGGAACTGCTTAAATATATATATATATATATATATATATATATATATATATATATATATATATATATATAGTCAGGATCATTTTACACCAGTATAAGTTACACTCTTAATCTTGTCTGCCGATATCACTTATATCTACGGACTCAAATTTTTTAATAATGTGAACCATTGGATACAAGTGAATTAATGGTCAAGATTGAGTGTAAGACTTCTAACTCTTACACCCGTGTACGAATATTCTGCCCCTATATATATATATATATATGTTTTATAAGAATTATGTTGTAGGAAGAGTGATTGTGTAATGTTATAGAGATTCGTTTTGCGTGCCTTAATTTTTTTTATTTTTTTTTCTTTAAAAAGTGTGGTTCCTTAACCCTTAAAATAATATTAATGACTTCCTCGTAAGCGGTATGCGGAATTCATTATATATATATATATATATATATATATATATATATATATATATATATATATATGTATGAGGCAGGATCATTTGACACCAGTGTCAAATTTAAAGTTTGACACCTCGTCTGAGAGCCGTTAGATCAAAAAATATCAATGGTATCACATGCTTACAAATCAGAGTAATTGATATTTTTTGATCTAACGACACTCAGATGAGGTGTCAAACTTTAAATTTGACATCAGTGTCAAAGGATCCTGCCTCTATATATATATATATATATATATATATATATATATATATATATATATATATATAAAGCAGTTCCACGGGAGCTAGTTTACGAAACTAAACGCTCCCACTGAAAATTAATTTTGGGGGCGTACCAAATGGGCAAAAAAAACCATTTAAGCAACCTTGAATGGTTAAACAGCCTTGTTATTAAATGTCTAGCCATTCTCTTTAAATATTCAATATTTTTGTTTTAACCGGTTCATCGATTATTGATTAATCCGATTTAAGTATTGTTGGGTTGATATAGGAGTTAGGAGCTGCTCTCTCAAGATTTTTTTTCTCATTTATAGGCTCTAATTCGAGATAATTAAGGAGAACAAATTCCTTATCACTTGAAACAATAGTTGTAGCTAGGTGCAAATTTTTTTTTTCTTTCTTTCAAAAGAGTTGTGTTGATTACTCTAGCAAGCAAAGGCCACACAAGGCCGTTGACAATAACAGCAGCAATTAATCACAGAAGTTGATTATTTCTATATAAAGCTAAAAAAATGTCAATAGCTATGGACTTTTAAAAGTCTCGTAGCAGTCGCAAATTAAGAACGCTGAAAAATCTTTTGTTTCTATGCTAATATACGTATTCGATTCAAGCGCACATTTATGCAAATGAAAAAGTGAGTTAGAAGGGAGTGGGGAAGGAATATGGGAAAACAATTAATATATTGTTTTTTTAACAACAATTACGAAAACGTAATTATTTTAAATGTAAATACAAATTTATAGCAATCAAAACACGCCTCAGAAGGGGCGTGATTTAATGGAGAGAGACACTACCCACATGAGACGTGTTTTAGGGGCGCGTGTTTGATTAGAGAGACACACCCCACATGAGACATGACTTACCAGGCGCTGACACGTGGCATAAAAAGCTAACAGTTTGACCATAAACTTTAAAAGTTCATAACTTTTGACTTGGATGTCCGAATTAGGTAAAAAAAAATTGATTCCACACAACTTTTTAAGATCTACGCAATGACACCTCATTTGGCATATTTTGTCTCTCTTAAAAAAAATTCAAATTTACAACGATGATACTATAAGAACATTTAAACTCAGATTAATAAAGAGAAACCACTGTCATAGTTAAAAATATTCCTAATAAAGATCCTTATGATTATGGTACTATTTTTGCAAATTGAAATTATATTTATAGAAGATGAAACTTCAACTTAAATAATATTGTTCACACTCCCAAATATAAAATATGTAAAACGGAGTACAAGGAAGATTTTTTGGGAAAAAATTCGACCAAGTCCCCTTTGAAAATTTGGCAACACGTTCATCTCGAAAAGTTATGCGAAATAAAAAAAAAAAAACTGATTCGGGCACCCAAGGCCAAAGTTATGGCTTTCCGAAGTTTTACGATAAAATATCCAAAATTTTAAAAAAAATTTCACTAAATCCTCTTCAATGAGACCTCATTGCGTAGATCTCAAAAAGTTGTTTGGAATCAAATTTTTTTTACCTAATTCAGACACCCGAATCAAAAGTTACGGACTTTCAAAATTTTACGGTCAAATTGTTGACTTTTTGTACTACGTGTTAACACCTGATAAGTCACATTCCCCGTGGAATCTCTTCTTAACTTGCATGGAACCTGTTCCGAAATCTCTCTTACGACGTTGATTCTGTCAACGATTTTCATCAAAATAAGAGAGATTGTAACTTTCACAAGGGAAAAACTACACCACAAACAATCTATGAGACATGGATTAATTGTGTCATAATCATCATTCATCGAAATAAAAGAGAGTGAGAGAATGTTGAGTTTTTATTTTTTGTTAAATTATTTTTTTGAAATGTTAAGTTTAATTTAAAAAATATTTTATCATAGTTTTTAGATATGAAAAATATTAAGAATTACTTTTAATTTTATTATATACTGTCAATGTTATTTTAGTAATTTTTCTTGTCTACATTTACACTTTATGACCTCATGTGTTTAATTGATTTTTTCTTAACATATTATTAAAATTATTATTATTATTATTTAAGTATGATATATATATATATATATATATATATATATATCACTTTATTTACTTAATGATTATATTAACTATTTTTAAGATAATTTTAATATAAAAATTCTTAACATCCATACCTTCATGTGGAGGTTGATAATTTCCACAAATTATTTTGAACTAAACATGTTAAACTTTGTCTTCATAAAGTAATTTTATCTTAAGGATTTTTTTTAGTAATTTAGAATTGGCAAATTCAATAAATAAATAATACTAATGTAAATTTGAATGGTAAAAGATAAATTTAGTCAGCCTATGTGGACCATTCAGAACATCTTTAGTAGCCCATATATATTACATACTCCTTTATAAAATAATAATAATAAATGAAACTCAAATGACATTGGTTATTAAAAAAAGTAGAAAAATGTAATTATATTAGTCATTTTTTATTCAGTTTTATTGATATACTCAATCTTGAATATTAGAGGAGTACTGGAGAAATTTTTCTATATATCCTTGACTTGAGAAACAAACGAACGTTAAATATGAGCATACGAATTACATGAGAAATTTTTACGTTAAATATGAGCATACGAATTACATGAGAAATTTTTTTCTGTTTTATATGCATCACATGATTTTGACTTTGCCCATATCCTTTGAATTAGTTTCTCGAGTTTGATATAGTCAGAGTCGTAATGCAGCTCAATTAGCGCTCAACGAACTACACTTTACAAGTTCCAATAGATGGTGAAGTTGTTTATATTGGCAGTATTAAGGAGCTTGAATTGCTCCCTGATCGAGTTCATCAACTATTGTAATTTTCTTTTCAAAACAGAAAAAACTGTACGACGAAACAGACCCGAGTTTAGAAATAAAAACAAAGATTTCCATCATTACAAACATAATTAACCATACATGTTTAT